GTAGTATAGCAGCTAGCAAATAACAGGAATCTGCCTCAGAGTTCAGAAGTTCAATTTTGGACAATTCAGTTTGTCTTCTCCACCAACCACACATTTATCTGCTGTTACTGTTTTTGTACTAAGCTGTTTTTGGCCTACAATGCACTTTTTTTTTTTTTTTTTACTATGACACTGAGAATCTGTATCTTACATATGCACTAGTTTATACTCTTTTTCCCTCACTTACAAAAAGGTACTTTCCTGAGTAAGACTTCTGATTTTGTTTATTCCTACTAAAATTGAGTAATTATTTTAGCAACATAATTATGTTAGAGGATTAGCTAGCAGGTATTCTGCTAGATCAGTTGTAATTAGGAAAAATAATTTACGTTATCTTTTCTAATTTATTCACTAGTATTTGAGCTAAGTTCAGTGATATTTAAAGGGTTAAACAACAAAAACACATAAATATCTAGACAAAATTAGGAAAATATTTCTTTCTTTCTTCTTTTTTTTAATGCTCTGATTTTCTTACATTATAATGCTATAGTTTAAGAAATGTTTTTCAAAGAATATGCTTCCATATGGCCAAGCCATTTTTGTGAGGCATAGTGAACTGGATTGATGTGATCCAGGTTAAAAAGTAAATAAATATTTTGGCACCCAGCTTTGTTCCCACGTGCACTTTGCTGCCGCACAGAGAATTGTACCAACATGAACAAAATGATTAGTAAAGACAGAAAAATCTATATAGGTGCTAGTGACAATTGACATTACTGCATTGCTTATTTTTGAAAGAACTGCAAGAAATTTATCAAGGAATTGAGATGAAGTTATTTTTTCCTACATTAGAAATCAGAAAAATTGAGTTTAAGAAGTTAGTTTAAATTAATAATGACCCAATTTAGATGTGAAGGTGCACATTAGCTGTGCTCTATTTCTACTGTAGATTACAGAGAGAGATTATACATTTTGTTAGCTTTCATAATTGGTGTCTTTCCCTTCAGATTTACCAAAGACACTTAAGTTCCGAGTTTCCAGTTTGAGAAAATGGAGTTTCAGTTAAACCGTAGGAAAAAATTAAATCTGACGCAGTGAAATCTTTCTTTTTCCTTTATACATTTATAATTGATTACTTTCATTTAGATCTGAAAACTTACTGTAAAATGAAGTTTTCATTCTAAACCACTTTTAAGGAACCTTTTTTTTTTTTTTTTTTACTAGAAGTAAATTTCATGGATATTTAGAATAGAAATTATATTCAATTTTCTTTCTCTTCTTATTAATGAAATAACTACAATAAAGGAAACTCTATTTAAGTCTAAACTGAATTTGGTTAAACTTCCTTCAGAAAGACAGAGGCTTTAGTCATCATTTTAAATAACTTTTTCTTTTGTGGAATGTTCTAGAAGAAATATGATGTTTTCAGGAGAACAAAAGAGAGTAATCATCTTAATTTTTAAGAAAGCTCTCTTATTTAAACAATTAGAGATGAAGTTTTAGCAATGAAAGTAAACAAAATAACCCCTTAGGGCTCTCTGGAAGGAAAGAGACTGCTTAAGAACAGTGAAATTATAATTAATACATGATCTAACATATTTTATATAATTATTAATTCATAATAATATTTCCATCTATCTTCTGATATGGTAATTTTTTGTGGAGAATGAAGAGAGGGCAAAAGGTTGGCCAAAATTAAATCTGTTTTTATCCAGGATCTTACATTTGTGAAAGAAATCTTGCTGAAAGTAAATGGAAAGGGATGTTGGAAGGGGCCTGAATACTATGATGAGGAAGAGTGTTGCAGGTAGAGCTGTGCAGCCATTGGCTTTCAAACTCACTAATAACCTCCTGATCTTTTCTTTCTTTGAAATATTTGAAGTCACTTTGGAGAATGATTAGGAAAACATAACACTATAGAAAGCACAAACTGAAGTATTCATTGTCACAGAGTTAATTTAACTGAGATGAGTTTACATACACATATTGGTAAGCCCGTGCAGCCTGTTCTATACTTTCTCAGCAAAGCTATGTGTGTATGCAAAGGATCTGCAAATAGCTGATGTAAAATATTAGATGTTTAAATTTTTCCAAGTGCTGAGGCATCTGTATTCTCTAAATGAATAAAAGAACTAAGAAATACAACATTTGCTTAGAATTGTGCTAGGAGTTTGTCATAGGTTGAATTAGCTTTTTATATGTGTAAATTGCTAATAATGATCTAATTACTTTCCTATTGAATGTTTTGGTACATTCTTTTTTTCACTGCTGTAGTGTTTATTTTAGCAGTCAAAAATTATAACTAGCACCCTGTGTGGAAGTATTTTGCAGGAATAACATCACAGCTGTAGTGCTTTGGAAGTTAGACCAAATGTCTTTATTCCCACATTAGTTAATATGAGCATGAAGCAAATAAACAACTTTTCCAGCTGACTGCTATTACAAGCAGTGGGTCATAAGTTTGTTTTAGATGTATAGTGTTTTTCTTGATAGCACAATTTCCTCTTTTTTCCATAAATGGCAGTGTTACATTCTGAAGTCAGAGTCTCAGCAGGACCATTATGAGCCAGCACCCCCTACTGCAAAGCATATGGACATCAAAATTTTACTTCTGGATATTCTTGAACTATCTTTGAAAATTCTCTAAGAACTTCAGTCTTTCATGACATACAGATTCAAAGTCTGATAAAATTCTATTGTGTGCTATTTAGAATTGTAGAATGGCTTGGGTGGAAGGGACATCAAGGATCATCAGTCTCCAACCCCCTAGCTTATTTTATGAAAGCAAATACTTAAAAAAAAAATAAAAATAGACTTTCCTGGAATTATTTTTTTGAGGTTGTTATTTGATATCTTTGCATTAATATAGGATTCTATCTGAACACAGTAATAATCTAATCACCATTAAATCTAATGATTTCTACTATGGTTATTTTGTTTCTTCTGTTTGACTCTTGGCTGTCTTAAGTTTTGAGCATGATACATACAGCACTTGTAGAACAATTTTATAAACTTACAACTAACCTATCTGGTATAAATAAAGAGTTCCATGGCCACCTGTAGGTAACAATAGCTACTTATTTGCAAGTTTGATTTACCCAAACTTCTTGGGATTAAATGCGCTGATAGTGACATATTGTGATATGATAGTACCAGCATCATCTCTAGCTTCTTCCCTGCCACTAGAGGCAGTTTTGCATCTGCACTTGATATAAAACAAAACTAGGTACAGGCAATTGAGGAGATATAAACTGAAAGTGTTAGTAGAAGAAACCCATTCTGAAGATTCACAGTGTATTCAGTGCTATGTAGAATGGTTACCACTCTGACTTATTTTAAGATCTGGATTTTTTTTTCTGTTGGAATGCTAATGGATTTGTGGCCTGACTTTTGAACAATAACAAACTTGGTTACATCAGCATTGCTAACATTTAGAGATATTTAGGAGTGAATAAAGTTTGCTAAGTTATGAAATTCAGTAACTTTCAAGGTACAGCAGCCTACTTGCTTTCCTAGTCAGTGTGGTTTTGGTGGTTGCTGTTCATAAAGAATAAAGCGCATTCTCAAAATACTGCCTCAAGTTTAAAACCCTTAACAACACTAAGTGAAGCTAATATCTACAGGATAGGATCTCGTAGTCTGTGAGAGCAAAAGATTAAGCATTCTTGAACTCTAAATTGGATCACTGTGTTCTGAATAGATAAAGATTCTGTACTTTCATTCTTTCTTGGACTTTCATTTAATTTACAGGATTTTTTCTGTAGAGTTTTTTAAAACATTTGTACCTCTGCTTTCATGGTCAATGTCTTGTTGAACGTAGCTCTTAATAAGGACAGACTTGAAATAAAGTTCTGAAATGTGTGACATGATAAAACATTTTATGCTTCTGTTGTTTTAAATTATTTCTGTGTCACTTACTATCGTCTCCAAATTCTTTTTCTAATGAAGATAGTGGACTGTTCTTAACATCTTCATATTACTATCATAGTATCTCAGTCTTACGAACTTTTTTTAAAGGTAGCTTTTTTGAAAAAAGGCAATATTTCTATGTATTACAACACTAGGATCTATGTGTAATACATAACATGTCAGTTCATCCTGGATTCCATAACATATTGGTAGTTATTTTTCAATCTTGGAAGTTTCAAGGTTGGTAAATTGTAATTGGTACCTTGTCTGAATGTATAGTGAAATAAAAGCTATCTAAATTATCTTGTGTGAAAGTATGATCCCAGACTATTTGTAATCATCTCAAGTTTCAATCTTTTCTTTTTGAAGAGTTTTTTGAAATGAGAATTTCAAATGACTATTCTTCCTATGGTTTGTTATTGTTAAACAAAAGTGCACTGTTTAAATGCTGAAATAAATGTAAGATATAGAATGCTTCAAATAAAGTACTTATACATAACTCATTTACTTTATTTACTTGCATCAATTTCATGTTAAGTATATTAGAAATAATTAAAAAAAAATTGTAACCTTGTGAAGCATAAGCCCTAAAAACCCAAACATAGAAGTAATGGCCTATGCTGAAGGCCCAGCTAGTAGCTTTGACTGACTTTGAGTTCTTTAAGTGACAAACAACCTAATATGAACTTGAAGAAAATTAATATTCTTTTCCTTCTTACTTAAATGTTGCAACTGAAAATGATTCCTGTATATTTTTGTTAGTTTCAGTAGCTGTGTATGAACTTTATATTGAACCTTATATCTATAAAAATAGAAATAATTTACATGCTTAGGTACCTACATTTACAGCTAAGTTAAGTTAATGTTATCTACTTTCCCTCCAGTTGTGATGAATACCCTAAAATCAGAAGCAGAGTATATGAGTAACATTTAATGGCTCTGGAGATTTATGCCTGGAAACTTCTACATCTGAATGTGGCATGAGTCCTTTTTCTGTTATTTCCTCTATTCAGTTGTTTCAGAAAGTCATCTTATTTAACCAGAATAAAATCAGTCATCTCAGAAGAGAGATCAGAAGAGATCTAATTCAACCTACTCTGTTTTTAAACTAGGTAAAGTACCACTAATGAGATGGATAGTAAATTTTGACCGGGATCTTCTAGATGGTCTGGTATTGGCAGCACAGATGGCAGCTTACTGTCCATTCTTGGTAAGAACTCTTCTTAATATCTTGCAAGTTTTATCCAGAGCCCAGTATTAATGTAAGTTTCTTTGGAACTGTTGGCTTCTATAGTTTTTAAAGGAAAAAAATACCATTTAGTGAGTATAGAATCATTATTTCAGTATTTCTTTTTCTCTTTTCTAGGTATACTTCTAGGTATACTCTCCATTGATAATTTTAGTTTAAAATTTAGATCTTATGGATTTCTGAAAGACTGAAAATGCAAACACTTTAATTCTGCTTTGTAGAATATGAAAAATTTGAATTCTGTCTTCCCTAGATTGCTTCTCACTTTGTAAGGATGTATACTTACCCAAGGACTCCTGCACATTTTCTGCACAACTGTTTGATACTTGTGAATGCTATTCATGCAATCAGCCTGACTATAGACGTAAAGGTAAATGTTTTTGTATGATCAGTACTTATATACTTTTTAATTATTTTTTACATTTATGGTAACAATGTATATCAAATTGAGATGAGATTTTACTGAATCAGTTTTATTTCATGTTCTACTGCATGATGGAAACCAAAATATTTCTTCATATAAATATATTTAATTACAAGTAATTTCCTTAATTTCTTGATTTGTAAAACTGTATATATATATATATAACTAGCTGGATTAAAAAAAGAGTAAGTCAGTTTGGATATTGTAAATCACAAAATGACAGAATGAGTAGCCTTTATTGTTAATATTCTAAGGCAACATAGAAAAAATATATTGAAGAACTAACATAATGCAGTAGAACATTAAAAAAGTGATAAATTCTATAAATGTTTGGTGGCACTTAGGTCTCTCTTTCTAAATCATAATGACTCATAAGAATTCTTTCACAAGGTTTATACACAAGTAAGTCAGTAACTTTGGGCTGCTGCTGTGAGTAACACTAATCCATCAGACTCTGGAGTCCTTTATTAGAATCTCTTGTATATGTTTGGTAGCACCTCACAGATCTCTTTTCTCCCATTGGCCTACAGCCAATATTATGTATTTAACATATCTGAAGGGCGTCAGATACCATTTTTGTTGTCCCTAAAACTAGTTTTGTCCAGCTCCAAATCTATTTCTTTAAGCGGCTGACTGCAAGCTCTTTATAGGCATGGCTGCTGCCAGTACCGTGCAAATGTAAAAGTAAAATCAATTAGCCAGAGAGGTCTATTAAAGACATTGACGTCACAGGTAAACCAAGTGAAAAAAGACTGATCTTGTAAGCTAGTCAAGGAAACTTAGAGGAGGCTTGTCAAACCCTTGTACTAAGGCTTTGTAAATTCAGTACAAAACTTATGGCCTGTAACTAACCATTGCAAGGTTGTATTAAAAGACTACACTCTTACAAGGACTCACGTTGTTATCTTCTATATTCTGGTTGTATGTATTAGTTACTGGAGTATTGGCTATTTAAAATGTCTGATTCATCATCACATTTTCTCTTTTGCTCCCTTATTGATTAAAAATACTATCCTTACCAAAATTAGTAAAAACTAAAAAGGTCTCATCTTTCCCTTGATTTGATGAGTGGAGCAGCTTCCATCATGAGTAAACTGAATGTCAGGGACTGTGCTGGGCTGGAGTGAGTGTGGAACATATTGAGCTTGTTAGAATTCCAGAAGACATAATGGAATGAATGTAGCATTTGTCTGCACATAAGGAAACTTTCCAAAGGAATAAATAGCATTAGAAGTCAGGGATAGAGTTGCTGTGTGAACAGTTATGAAGGAAGCTGAATTACAACTTTTTTTTCCTTCCATTTGATTAGCAGGGCAAAACTAACCCTATTATTTTCCAGTTGTACTGGTATTTTTCTATTCCCACCTCCTGATACATATACGCTGTTATAAATGGCCATATAAATGTCTCTGCTAAACCAAGAAAATTGGCTGTTTCACAGACTTATGACTGGCAGGAACCGTAAGAAGATAATCTATATGCCATCTTCAAAATAAAGGCATACTTGGTTCATCTTTTAATAATAAAAACAGGCAGAAGCTGATAACTCATAAGAAAAAGATAGAAGATATCCAGGACGTGCACCTTAATGCACTTAAAGAGTGTATTTTCAGATACAATGTAATAATATAATAAATTCGCCACATTTTTCAGGTATTCGTGTTCTTATAGATGGGAAAGCTCCAGCTCTCACAGCTTTGCTCTGCCCCACCATGGGCCTACCCGTAGTACTACCGCCCAGCCAGGCCTTGGCCTAGTCCCAACCCCAGGGAAATATACAGTGCTAGGACTGGGACTGCTCTTGCCTGGCCTGCTTCTGGTGGGGTGGTGGGAAGGAATAGGCTGTCCCCTTCTCTGGAGCTGTTATATTCCCTTTGGTTCCCTGTTGTGAAGAGAACAGCTGCCTCTTGCTGTGCCTTGGCATCTACCTCTGCCTTCTGTTTATCTCCCAAGTTTGTAAGAATTACAGTTTCACTGATCTTTCTAGATTTGCGTGTTCTTACTGAGATGGGGATTCTTACATTCAAGACACCAATCATCTTGTTACAGCATGATATGTCATGATCTGGAGCAGCAAGAGGAAAAACTGCTAAGTTCACTCATGATAATTCCTTACTTTTATTTTCACTTCTGTAGTAGATGAAGAGTAACTTCTGATAAACAGGAAAAAAAATAAGGAGGAAAAAAAAAGCTTTTTCTGCACTAGAAAAGCCGTGTTAGAAAGGCTCCTTACATTTTTAAACTTAGAAGCCAGTTTATTCTGAAATTTTCTGATTTGAAATTCAGAATGGTTTGCACCCATCTGTGACCATGAAAGAGCATCGTATTTTCCCACTTCTGTGTCAAGTGTAGGTTCATTCTTGTCAGAGAAATTGTGATGGGAATGTTATTTTGATGACTCTATAGGAAATGAAGCAAAACTTGTAAGCTCTAGTTATTCTCCTTAGTGTTCTCTAGAATCTTTTGAAAAACCAACTGTTTGTTGCATTAGGCAAGAATGCAGTAGGCTGATGGATGTGAATATTATTTCAGATGCTTGGCATTACTGACTTATTTGCAATACAACCATTAAGAAAACTTAGCTTATAGACTTTTATCCTGCTTCTTTCTCAGATATACTGAACATAACTTAAGTAGAACGGTTTCTCTTAAGCTGCCTTTACTGTTTTTAACTGATTCTAAGGGAGATTATAGATGTGCTTGAAAGAGAAATCCATTGAGGATTTCTAAGTAGACAGAAGTCTTGTATGGTTCAGCGAGTCTTGTACCCAGGATGGGAAAATACTGAAGTGTATGTGTACTTACCTTCTGAGTGTCTGCATTTAAGCATCACTTTGTAGCCACTGTTGGAAAAGATGATCTAAGCAGTATTTTTTTTTGCCTATGTTATGAACCACTAGGCTGCACTTAGCTTACTTCATGTAAAACTTTTTCTTTGGATGTTTGCTTTAAACTAATGACTTTTTTTTATGTCATGTTGGAAGTAGGTGTCTCCACTGGAATTTCAAATTTTTGCCCTTTTTACTCTTTTTCCTCTCAGAATCCAGCATGTCATAATGAAGCTTTTTGTAGCTGGCAATGCTTTTCCAGATGCTGGTTCATCAGTCACAAAGTAGAAGCAGTTAGAAAGTGGAGCTATTTGTGTTTGTGCTTGGATTGATGGATCCATTTGCTTTCTTAGAGCTTCTGTCTTAGGAGTTACATCTCAGTTGCTTTTGTATGGTCCTATTTTTAGGCAATAAATGTGAGCTAATAATTACTTTTTAATAATGTCAAAAGAGGAGGAAGAGTCAATAAGCAATTTCTAATTAAAAAGAGTTAATTAACTCTTATTGAAAGCTGATCTCATTTCTTTGTATAAAGAATGAAATAGAGAAGAATTTAGACCAATGGCTCTAAAAATAATCAATAAATCCTTAATGTACTAATTTCCAGCATCTGAGAAATTATGTCAATGGAAAGACCCCTTTATATTTGCCCAATTTCTTATACCTTTTACACCAGCAATTGCTCTGTTGGCAGAGGCAGATTAGGGATGTTCCTAGGGGATCCATAAGTGTTCAGATCATGTGGATTCTTCTTCAGTGTCATTACAGCTGCTTTTGTGTTCTGATGCTGAAGTATAAAGCTTTTTTTGGTATACCTATGGGAGGAATTAACCAGAAGAACATGAGCCTTTCTGCAAAACTTGAAGATAGACTCATTCTTGTTCTGTCCCTCGGAAGAGATATTTACTTTTTCGCACAGTCTTTTATTACTTCTTGAGCTTTTAGAGAGTTGAGGTGGCTGGTTCTTAGAAGTGCTGGACTATATTCTCTAATATAAAGCTTTCAGTAACTAGGAGGAAATAAACTAACAAAGAAGCAACCCTAACTCAGAGAGTTACAGTGATAGTGGAAATGTCTAAATATCTCTCCTACTTTCTAAAAATAGTCCAGAAGTGGCAAAAAAGTTTTTCTCCTGTGTGACTTTGTGATTTTCCAGCCTGTGTGACTAATACAATTAATTTCTTTTCCTAAACTCTTCATCGCTATTTACAATGCAGAGTAGCAGTAGTTATCAAAAAATTTTCTGAGAATGAAAATTAAATATTTAGTTTAATTTCAAGGTTTCTGTTGAGAATTCACATAGGTATGGTTCTTCCCATTGAGTTGCTTTATTGAGCTGACTGTTTTAGGCTTATTATCTACCACTTTTCAGAACATCCTCATTTTCTGTTTGATCTCTTGAGGGTAAGTTTCAGAAATTGCAAAAAATTAACAGTTTTTTTTTTTTATTCTCAATTTGTTGTTAATCTTCTCCATACTACCACATTTGCTCTCATCTGGCAGATTTCAGTTATACTTGCCCTTATTCTAGTATGACTCTTCATAATTATCTTCTTGCTGATTTTCAACCTATGTTACAAGTCTTCTTTATAAAACAATGCTTGTGGGAATGTGTAGAACCTTTTTCAAAGTATTACTGTATTAAATGAGCCTCAGTTATGTAAGGAATTCAAATGAAAAAGGGCACCTATTAAAGGGTTTACATGCTAATGCAGTAGTTTGATGTTTAAATCTCTTCCCAACTGTATGCATTTTTCCTTAGGACATGATATTTAATTTAGGAGAGAACTTAAACAGAATTATAAAAGTTTACGGGCAACATTATTATTACATTCTAAGATTCTATGTAAGAAATTTAAAAATAATTAATTTAATTAGCTTGATTCAGGAATTTGTTTGAATTGGTGGCTAGATATTTTCTGCCTGTATTTTCTGTGGGAAGTTACTTCCATTTTCTTTATTTGATCAGGCTTAATGAAAAGTTCATGTGATGGTGGAAGAGTTACTATTTGTCTTGACAGTGAGACACTAAAGACACTGAGGACTAAGACTTTGATGAGTTCTACAGTTGCCATTTAAATTCATTTTTCTAAATCAAATATTTGAGATTCGGTAATCCTGTATATAGCAATTTGGCATCTGCAGTAAAAATAATTGTATGCTTGTGTTCCTTTGTTAGTTGGATTGTGTTCATACAGAGCTGCAGAACTGTACTTAGCAGTACTTGGGATGGCATTTTACATAGTAAACAGAAAGATTAAAAAATCTTTTTTAAAAAGATAAAAAATACATATTTCAGTTAATGGATTTTACTTGCTTTTTATATTCTGCTTCACTAAATAATAAAATAAACATGTTTTTGCCAAAGTACAAGGAAAAAAGGTAGGTTTAATTTTTAGCATAGGTTTATTGCCAGAGCATGTCAGTGTCCTTCAAGAAATAGTATTTTTGTACACTGACAAGACTGTTATTCATCTGAGCTCTGAGCCTGCATCAGTTACTAGTAGGTTGCAAAAATTTGTATGGTAAGAATTTATCTTAAATTTTTTATTCTGCATTTCTGTGTCTTTATAAACTGTCAGGCAAATCTTAATATGCAGTTGTTATTTCTTTTATGTCTTCAATATTAGGCCACTGATATCTGTGATCCAAATCCAATCATGATGCTTATTCTGTGTGTCCACCTATATGAAAACCTTCCTCATTACTTACCTAAGAAGACTATAGAATTTACAGGTGCTCTCCATGCAACTATTGTTAAACAGGTACTGATACCACTGAATTTAGATTTGTAGAAGCATCAAGTTATAACATGCTGTATATTATTATATTATGTAGATACCTCAACACAGAAATGAGTTTCGTGTCATTTTGCAACTAAATGTAGAAGAGGAAAGAATTGTCTTTTTTTTTTGCCTCTTCAGGATTGGGATCCTGACTTCTTGTTGCTGTTTTAATCCTTTGCTTGTGAGCACAGAAAAAATCTACAAATTTAAGAATCTTTTCTGAGATAAAGATATAAGAGAATCAGAGATTAATAGTTGGCATTGGCATGCAGTGTACAATGCAAAAAAAGTACTCAGAAAAATTAAGGTCTAACAGTCTGTGGGATGTCTGCACTGCCTAGGGAGAAAAGTGATCTGCCTAGTAGTTTGAAGTACTGTCTTATTTTGCGATATCCTTCATTCATATTTTGGAAGCTAGCTCCAGAATTTGTTTTTATGTTTTAAAAATTGAATAAAAATATGATGATTTTGTTGCTGTTCTTGTGATAGATTCGTCTGAAAAACCCGAGTGTTAAAACTTTGGCATACACCGCTACTCTTGTAGGAAGAGATGCTAATGATTTCTCATTGCCTGAAGGAAACACTGTAATCATTGCCCCTAAGTAAGTAATGAGCTTTTAGTGCTATAAGAGCCAGAGGAATCACAGAATGGGATTTATAGGACCATAGAATCTTAGGATTGCTCACATTGGAAAAGACCTTAAAGATCATCGAGTCCAACCACAACCTAACCGTACTACCCTAACTCTAACAACCCTCTGCTAAATCATGTCCCCAAGCACAACATCCAAACAGTTTTTAAACACACCCAGGGATGGTGACTCAACCTCCTCCCTGGGAAGCCTATTCCAGTGCTTAACAACCCTTTCTGTAAAGAAGTGTTTCCTGATATCCAACCTAAATCTCCCCTTGTCCTCTCGCCTGTCACCAGTGAGACCAACACCAAAAATTTAAATTTAATTTTGGGAAAACATTAGATTAACATTTTTAATAAGAGAAATACTCAAAAGACATGTCTGTGTTTTCTTTTTTGTTTACTCAATACATTATGCTTTTCCTGTGCAATATGGCTATGACTAGACATAGCAATATTACTATTTGTTGAAATATTGAAGTTATAAGGGTATAGTAGTGACTTTGTTAAGAGTTTTTAAGTTTATGCTGCAAGTCCATTGAAGATACTCCTTTGCAGATGAAATGGAATGGAGGCTATACAACGGAAAGCAAAGGTCAGCATTTGAATTAAAATAAGCCACGAAGAAGAAAAACTTGTCAATTATATTGTCAAATTCAAAACTCAACACAAATACAGTACTCTTAAAGGTTGATCAACTTTTCAATATTAAGTAGGATGACTATTATAAATATATGCAGGAGGAAAAGTGAGTAGTGCTATGTTATTGGTGAGCTCTGAGGCTGATTTGCATTATAAAATCATAGAATAGCTTGGGTTGGATGGGACCCCAAGGATCATCAAGTTACAATCCCCCTGCCACAGGCAAGGCCACCAGCCTCCAGAAAAGTTTCATTTTTCTTAGCATTTTCTTCAAATAAGAATTAACAGAAAAATGTAATCTTAGAAAATGTCATGTGTTTCTCTGAATGGTCAATACTGTGGCTGTTTTTCACTTCATCTTGCATGTTGAAGGCTTAGAGATTCTCCTGATATTCCTCAAAAATATTTTTAAGATATTACTTCTGTGTTCATCACCATTCAGTTCTCAGATCCCAAGGCAGTTTTCAGTAAGAATTTTATTTTCCTCGTGTTCATCATAGAGGAGAGTTAGAGTGTTAGGAGACCTCCTGGAAGGTTTCCTTGATAGCAGTAGTAATTTAGGGACAAATTATGTCACTACTGCTATCACATTATAGCACTTATGCCCTCACTGTAATTGTTCAACTTACTTGAGAGGATTTATGAATTGAATTCACTTGAAAAAGCAGCTGTTCTTACCACAGTTGTGAAATAAATGTAAATTAGCACAATGCCAATAAACACATGGCTTGCTGATTGCTGTTACAAGTCCTTTGCCTCACCACATACCTGTAACTGTGTACTCACAGTACGTAATAGGCATATTTCACAATCCGCCAGTAGTTTGCAAATGCTTTAGAATTCCCAGTTGGCAGAAGACCAATAAATGACACAATTTTTCTATATTTTTCTATATTTAATTTTTTCTTTTTCTCCCCCTCCCCCCCCCTCAGGCTGCTCATATACTACTAATCACTTAATGGGGAAGGCTGATGTGGGGTGGGAAGAGATTTTGTTTTGACTTTAGTACTTGTTAGCTCTTCCCAAAAAACAACAAACAAGTCTGTACATTAAAAATACAACTTTTTCCCAAATATATATTTTAATTAGTTCCTCTGAAGAATTATTTGAATATTATCAGCTTGTATAATTTACAGAATTGCAGGATTTTTTTTGTAGATTGACTTTCTACCATCTTTTTCATATTGTTTATTATTTAAAATTTTTTTGAACTATATAGAATAGTTCTGACATTACAATGAAAGTTACACCAGTCAATAACTCACTGTTTTCTTGCTTTTAGAAATGCTAATCTCAGCATTATAGAGTGATTTTGAGTGCTTCAAAGTGTGAGCTTCAGCTACTGAACTTCTGTTGTTGGTCTTGCTTAATTGCAGAACTAATGGAAATCATGTTATTTTTACCCTTTTCCTATCAGAAACTTGATCTGTTGTTTACATGAGAGTACTTGGATTTTTTTCCATCTCTTTGCTATTCAACTTTACTTATTATTTTGAAGGTTCTTTTACTCAATTATTTCAGTCTTGGGGATTTTATTAAAAACTTCTAGATCTGCCTCACACTATACACAGCAGGATGTTTAGCTGTTTAACATACAAAATTGTATTCAAATAGGGAAGCATAAAATAGATCAGTTGTTGGCTTAGGGCAATTATATAATATGAGGGAACTTTTTCTGATTGTGTGTGGGAAGAAAAATAAAGTTACATACTGAAGACATAAAAAGCAGTAAGGACTTATATTGTTTTTTTTTTTTTTTTAAATCTAAATAGTTCTTTTATTAGAATGTTTAAAGTGCTTTTAGACAGGAGGTTGAACTACAGCGAAGTGTTTCTGAAGAAACAAGTGCCACCTTCCCTTTCAAAGATTCTAAAATATGCTCCTGAAATGATATTTTAGAGTAATTCTTGAATTACAGTTTTATGCCTAATTATTCAAAGAAATATTACTGTTATTTTGCCTAGGAGTCAAACAACTATAAATGTGGAATTCACTAGTCGTTTTCTGCACCCTGCTGAAGCAGTATTGCTGCTGACCTCAAAGAGAATGGGTGGAATAGGTGCTGCCACACTTACATTCTCACTGAAATCTGAAGTCAAGCATATTGAACCTGCTGTAAGTCTATGTGTGAAATTATTATTGTCACAAAAAATATTATTCGGATGTATGTTGTATCAGTCAAAAATGACCTGAGGTAAGAATGAAAAGGTGAGTAACCATCAGCAATTGAGCTATTAATGCTCAGCTTTCCAATGTTAGTTTATGTATATGCAGAGAAAGGCCTAGAGGAATATCTGAGATATAAAAGGATGTAAATCTCACAGAGATCTGGAATAAATTAAAAATTTTTGCACAGATTGCTCTGAAAACAAATCTGAATCTCTTTCAGTATGTGAATGTCTTTGGAATTTTTTTTGAAAAGGTGGTAATATGCTTCTTCATTGTAATGATTTCACTTGTGTGATGTAAATTTGTTTTAGATGTTGGCAAATTTATTTAAGCTTTTTGGTTTTGGTAGTATTTAAGATACATCCCAGAAATAGAGCAGGGATAGTCATAGTTTCCAGCATTTGTTATCAAACGTTCTTTTAGCAGATCTGGATATATTCTTTTCTGAAATAGATGGAGTTTATATGATTCTCCTTTCTTACATGACACTTTTTATACAATAGCAATACACACTTTTATTAGAAAGGATGGTTGGGGCAGGAATAAAGAAAGAGAACATGAAAAGTTTGGTCTTGTTCATGTGCTATCATTTTGAAGGTGGAGAAATTAAACATGTTTAAAAAGAAATAAGCTTTAACTTTACTGGCGACAAAGTATTTAAATTGTGTGAATTATATAGTCATCAGTGGTTAAATTCTTAGTAATATTCTCCTGGTAGTATTTCCAATGAATGCGGTTTTGCAATTTTTTCACATTTATATAAATTTTTGTTCTCTTATAGGATACATTAAAATGCAAATCTCCATGTTATGAGTTGAAGAAAGTTGTCCTAAATGTTACTAATCCCTTCAGAACTGATGGCATATTCAGGTAGACAGTGCTATAAAGACAAGTCTTTAATATTCATGCTGTTTTATCAACTGTTCCATATTTTTCATATTCTGTTTAAAAATGTAAAACCTTCAGGTTAAATTATAGGGATTTGCATTACCAGAATTGTTACAAGTACTGTGAAGTGGAAGCTATCATGATAAATAAAGAAGATGAATAAGCCTTAATTGTAATCCATCTCAGTATAAGGAATAAAGTTAGAGCTTTAATCAAATGGAGTTCATGAACTTTGCTTGTATTTTTATGTTTGGCTGAGATCCAGCAGAATTCTATAGAGAATCAAGCTATGTTAATTAATAGTTGGTTGTTTTCCTCCAATCATCTTTATCCTGCTGTTTAAATTATTAAGCATGCAAAAGAAAGAACATACTTTTGCCTTGAGGCTTGCATCTCTATCAGTTAATCTAATTTTTCATTTGCATTCATCATAGATGTAACAACTGCAGAATTAAGGTTTTTTTTTTTTTAATAAGAAAAGGAGTAGAATGTTGTGTCTCTTTATAAATCTCTGTATTTTGATCTGTATTTTGTCTTTAAACATAAGTTCTTATAATTCATTTATTTACAGAACCATTTTCCATAACTTTCAAACTTATTTCATTGATCTATTCAGTGTTCTCCATAGGCTGCAAATGACATTTCTCTTCCATCCACAGTTGTTATGGTGTAGACATTTGTAAGAGGATTGCTTTCATAGCTCCACTGGTGCTCCAATACTCCAATGTGGCATAAGTCTCCTATGTGTTAATCATACAGAATCAGAATCATTAAGTTTGGAAAAGATCTCCCAGATCATCCAGTCCAAGTGCCCCCCTATCACCAATATTTCCCCACTAAACCATGTCCCTTAGTGCAACATCTAAATGTTTCTTGAACATTTTCAGGTACAATAATTCAGCCACCTCCCAGGGCAGCCTACTCCAGCGCTTGCCCACTCTTTCAAAGAAGAAAATTTTCCCAACATCTAACCTGAATCTCTTCTGGCGCAACTTGAGGCCATTCTGTCTCATCCTATTGCTAGTTATACAGAAAAGGCTGATCCCCATATCACCACTACCTCCTGTCAGGTGACTGTAGAGAGCAGTATGGTCTCCCCTGAGCCTACTCTTCCCCAGAGTGAACGATCTCAGTTCGCTCAGCTGGTCCTCAAAAGACCTGGGCTACAGATGCTCTCCAGCTCTGTTGCCCTTCTCTGGACATGCTTCAGGGCCTCGATTCTTGTAGTGAGGGACCCAAAACTGAACACAGTACTCAAGGTGCAGCCTCACCAGAGCTAGGCACAGGGAGATGATCATTTCCTTACTTCTGCTGACAACACTTATACAGGATGTTACTGACCTTCTTGGCCACCTGGGCATGCTGCTGGCTCATGTTCAACTGAGCATCAACCATCACTCCCAGATCCATTTCTTCCACACAGTCTTCCAACCACTCTGCCCTGAGCCTGTAGTGCTGCCTAGGGTTGTTGTGGCCAGAGTGCAGGACCAGGCTTAGTCTTGCAGAACTTAATCCCATTGGCTTCCATCCAGTGATCCAGACTGTCCAGATCCCTCTGAAGTGTCTTCCTACCCCGAGGGAGATAAACGCTTCCTCCCACTTTGGTGTCATTTGCAAACTTACTGAGGTGCGCTCAGTTCCCTCATCCAGATCATCAGTAAAGATATTGAACAGGATATGCTTCACTATTGACCTGTGTGGAATATCACTTGTGACCAGTAACCAGCTGAATTTAACTCCATTCTCCACCTGCCTTTCATGAACCCATGCTGGCTGTGCCTGATCCCCTGGTTGTCCCACACATGCTGTGTGATCTCACTCAAGATGGTCTGCTCCATAACCTGTCCTGGCACTGAGTCAGGCTGACAGGCCTGTAGTTCCCCAGATCCTCATTATGACCCTTCTTGTAGATGGCAGTCACACTGGCAAGCCTCCAGTCTTCTGGAACCTCCAGCAGGAATAATGATAGATGGTGGAAAGTGGCTTGGCAATCACCTTTTCCAGCTCTCTCAGCACCCTTGGGTGAATCCCATCCAGCCCATGAACTTGTGACAGTTCTGTCTCTTAACTGTTTCCAACTGAACTGTGGAGGTTTTATTCTGCTATCCATCCCCGACATCCAGATCAGGGAGTAGAGTACCCTGAGGATAATTGGTCTGACTTTTAAAGACAGATGTCAAGAAGGCATGAAACTTCAGCCTTTTCCTTATTTTTAATGGTCACATTCCTTGCTGTATCCATTAAAGGATGGAGATAGCCCTCCTCTTATGGTTAACATATTTGTAAAAACATTTTCTTTTCTCTTTTACTCCAGCATCAAAGTTGAGCTCAAGATGAGTTTTTGCCTTTCTGATTTTCTCCTTGCATACCCTAACAACTTCTTCGTACTCTCCCCAAGTTTCCCATCCCTTCTTTTTCTCCTGGAGCCTTAGGAAAAGTTCCCTGTTCATCTTCTTCCCTGCTGGCTCATCTTTCTGCTCAGAACATATTTGTTTTGTTTGCCTTTTTTCTCAGTCAGTGAGGTGGTTATTGAGACTGTCTGTAACCTGTTCTATGATTTGGATAGCTCTCAGAATAGATTAAAGTGATTAAGGAGTTTAATTTTATATGCATCTTTCAACAACTACTTGACAACTACTCACAGTAATTATGAATTTGGGCCACAGTTTAACCAGTAATCTACAATTAAATGTTTCTTTGAATATTTTTTCCAGTATTTAGAGACATTTACTATTCCACAAGAGGTAGTATTGCTTATTTGCAAATAACACTAGGAAATATACTTGTGATATCAAGGAAGTAGCTCTTCTACCAAAAAGAGGGCTAAAAATCTTAAAACTACACATATGATGTAGTATTATCTGAGAAAAGTGCAAATTGAAAGATGAGCCTCTGGTTTTGTGTCAGATATCAGATATTTCCAAAAGCTGTGAATTTTGTAGCATAAATTCTATTTTAGAATATTATTTCCTACTTAAAATATCAGTATTGCTTGTCTTCAAATGCACATTCTTTTTGTTTTTAATGTTTTATTTTAAACAGTTTTTTTTTTTGAAAGAAAGTTGGTTTCCTTGTCATAACATGACATGTACTGCAGAGCATTCCTATGATAATAGATCAATCTGTAGTATTGATTAAGTAGCAGTTTAAAATAATTTTCAGTAATCTGGAATGCGTGTCTCAGGATTTACATGCTTACAAAACCTTTAAAATTTTCATTATTAAATTGTGCAAATTACTTTAAGTTATTAAATCAAGAAGAATTTACCAAACTACTAAATATTTTTAATAGTATTTTGAAAGTACCACAAGCTGAAAACAGTAAGCTTCTTTATCAAGCATTTAAAAATTAGAATAAATTAGATTTTATTCTTCATCCTCCTAGTAAAAAGTAGTGTTTCTGTGTACTTGCCATATTCCAGGGTCATTTTGCTGGAATCCACAAGTTACTTAAGTCAGCCAGAACAAGTACATCAAGCCAGGCAATTAAAACAGGAGCAAATGTTCAGGTAAGTTTTGAATGGCAATTGCTAATTATAATGTAGGACAAGGACTAATGGCCTAAAACTTGAACATAGATAGTTCCATACTAACATGAGGAAGAACTACTTTATGATAGGAGTGGCGGAGCACTGGAATAGATTGCCCAGAGAGCTTGTGGAGTCTCCTGTAGAGATATTCAAGACCCGTCTGGATTCCTACCTGTGCGACCTACTGTAGGGTACCTGCTTTAGCAGAGTGGTTGGACACAGTGATCTCTTGAGGATCCTTCCAACCCCTGTGATTCTGTAATTCTGTAATATATGGAGTTGTACTGTTTTATTACTATTACATGTATCTGTGTATTTTGTATATATACAACAATACCAGTTGTAAAGAATTATGGGCTAGGACATGGAAAGCATAGTAGAAAGAAGCAATATTTTAAAAACAATTTTGAGATAATTTACTGAAACAGTGGAGAAAGAAAAATATGATATAAAAGGTAAACATGAGTGTGATATGCTTTCTAAAAAAAGTATCATGGAAAGTAGAATTAAAAGGTGAAATATTGATGCTGGGATGCGGACAACCATGATGACTTAGATGGCTGAAGTATTGAAAAAATTGTCAGTAAGATTGACTAGCTCCAGGTCACTAGAACCTTAGAAGAAGGAATAGTTCTGAATCTTGGAATGAAGTCTGTAGATTTATTTGAAGGTAAAACTGCCTGTTATATATGGGCAGTCCAGGGAATTCAGACTGTGCTGAAGTCTAAAATATTGCAGGTTCTGTAGGCCCCTGTAGCTGCAAATGAGAATGAGAGGATGTTAATACGGAATTATTGAAATAAATTAATATAATTTTGTGTCTAGACAGTATTCCTTAAGCAGACCAGGGGCAGATTTGCTAGCATAGGGAATCTAGAAGGTGAAGGAGAGTTCAAAATAAGTATGATAAATGTAATGAAATCACAAAAACTGAAAAGCAGAAAGTAACAGAGAGACAAGGAGATATATATCATAAAAATGGAACAATGTGTAAGTATATTTATAGTCCAAAAGAATTTCTGTCTTCACTATCTCTAATTGTTAGACAGTGAGATAAGTATCAAGAAGTTCAGATGAACAGCAAGAAAGCTTTAGGAGTACTGAAGAGTAGAGATGTAGATCAGAATCATTCATAGACAAGGTAAAAAGAAAAAGAGACAATCCAAATAAGGTTTGGCACTCTTTTCATAACACTCTCTGGAAATGTCCCAGTGTAGATCACTAATATCTAATACAATTTTTGGAACCTGCCAGACATTACAAATTGCACTGTTTTAATAACTGTCAGCTTAATAACTCTATTTTTCAGCCACGGACTGAAAGTTTTAATTCTAAGTTATTTAAGATAAAATCATAACCATAGCTTGTGTCTGAGCCAAAGTGTAATTTGTGGTTGCAGTCAAAACCTCTATTTCCACCTGTAGCTGAATGATCTTTGTGAGAAGGGTGATGGCTTTTTTTTTTTTAATCCAATTGAGTGTTTTTCTTTTATGTATATAGTGATAAATGTGACTAGACTTTTTTCAAGTTACAAATTTTTCTGTGCTTTTTGAAGCCCTCGACACCTTAGTAGTTGTCCTTAGCCCACATCTGTGTCCCAGCATGGTCTTCCCCCTTTGGGAGAAGAACCAGATGAAGAAATACTTGCTACATGGCCCAGGAATTCAAATATAAAACTATGCATAATTAGTTCTCAAGCACGTTGATATTTTGACTGATGTCCGTTAAAAAAAAAGAAAGATGAAAAAATTGTGGAATGACACTAAGAGCTCCAGTTTCCAATTATTAGCTAACTTTTCCGTCTTAGATTCTCTTCTATAAAATTACAAAGTGGTAAAGGTAGATTACTGATTCATAAGAATGGCTCATGACTGCAGAAACCGATTACAAAAGAAGCTATTAAGATGGGTAAATATTGGTACATGAAGAGGAGGAATCTCAAAACAAAAAAAGGAAGAGACAATTGATGAATTTCAAGTCATACTCTGCATACATATAAGAATAACTTATATAGCTTCTTAATATTTTTTGCTTTCCCTTTTAGACAAGGATAATACTAGAACTTTCAAATATTTTGAATGTTGTTTTTTTTTTTTTTCCCCTCAAACTTTTTGTTCTAAGCAGTTTCATGTGCTAGGAAAAGAGTTACACTGAACAAAATACGTGTATTTCTTACTGATTGGATAAACAGAACTGAAGATCTGAAAGGATGTATGTTGTCTATGTTATAGAGATTATGAGATATTTCTGTTGCTTAAGAAAATATAGTTTAGAAATACACTATTAATTGTATATTAATCACAATTCTAATTAACATTTGATATTAAGAAGCTGATCTATATTAACATGAGTCATACTGCCTCTTATGGGTGGTTCCTGTTTTACTTCCTGTCCAAGTCTTCTGAGGTCACAAACTGTATCAGAGAGTGCAGGAAACTGGCAAATATCTTACACATGAGTTTATGTGTTCAAATGTTTCCATGTTTTCAGTGCATTAGTTAGCTGTTTCTTGTATCCTTTATTTCCTTAACAAAAAATATTTCTTCTGTCTTCTAAAGCTTATTGAAGTCCCTGCTGTGTGAACTTGAGATTTCCCCCTGTTGTCTGACACTGCTTAGTCTTCTTTTCATGTCAGGGAACTGGAAGGGACCAAAAAAACCCCAAACCTATCTATTAAATTCTGCTCCAAACCCAAATGCAGAAAGCAAAGCAATTTTCCTTGTGGAAGAATTTGTTGAAGGAAAGCAGTTATTAGCTTTTGTGAGCCCTGGGCTGTAAGGGACACACCATTACATGTGTCTAGCTATGGCTAATTGATGAATGTGGTCTATCTATGTAGAATACAGAGATTTTTTTGGTTCTGATTTTTGGTATGCATGACAAGCCCAGTCTCTGTGGCACTACATAAAAAGAGGTAACTTGCAACTCAGAGGTGATGGATACTAAATTGTTTTTTACTGGTGCCCAAGTGTGTAAGTAATTTGTAGAACAAATTTGAGCAGGTTAGATGAAACCTGGAAATATTTACTCCTGCCATTTTCTCTCTCTCAACTGCATCTTATTACCAAGCAGTTGAAAGGCAGCCTCCTATACCAGCATTCAACTTTACCTCACATTGTGTTGCAGAATGTTTAGTCCATTTAATGCACAATAAAGTAACTTTGCTTTAGAAGGGACTAGTTGTGTTTGCAAAAAAACAACAAAACAAATTAGAGGCAGCTTTTGAAGTTGATTGGTCACCATTTCTTCCATTAAACTGAATCACTTCTCATACCCAAGTTTTCAGACTTAGAGACCTGAATCATACTGTGATGTAACGTGTTTAGTCCCACAGTTAGATCAAGGATCCTTTGCCATCATGTCTAAACAGTATATGCATAAACCTGGTTTTGGAGCTCATCTTCTTCAACACATACATTAGAATTGAATGTGAACGTGGAGTAAAATGATTGGTGTGTAAGGCCTGATAGGACATTACTGTGGGCTTAAAGCCATAGCAATATGTCTGTGTAGACTAGTTTTATGGCAGCATTAAGCTGTTCTGTCCAATCTTATTTTTCAGTGTATTTAAAGGGAACATACTGAGCCAAACTGAGTACATGCTTCTTCAACAATTATATTCTTTTAATTTTTATTATTGCAAGAGTTGTTATTTATTTTATTTTAGTGGAATGAGACATAATATATATCTGCCACAAAACAGTTTTCTTTCTTTTCCCCGTTATTCATCTTCAAATACTTTGTTTCAAATACTTTTAGTGAGAATAAATTTACAGAGACAGACCTTCAAATCAGTGCAACAAGTTTCTCAGTCATTCACCTCCAAAAATGGGATTTATGCAAACCCCACTGAAGACTTGTTGTACTATGTATGGTCTTAATGTATAATGTCATAATTACATTATTATATTTGTCAATTTTCATATAGCTTTTAAACAGTTGTTTCTGTAATGATTTTTTTGCTCTAGTCTCTCTCTTCACGATCACACCTGGACACTCTGATTCAAAGATAAAGCATTAAAATAGGAAATTTGCAATTTTGTACTTTTATGTGAAATGAGATAAATAATTATTTGTTAGTACAGAATATATATTATGTTGAACCGACGTACTTCAGAGATCATTTTCCCTTCTGAAAAAATAAAAAAAAGTATAGATATTAAACTAAATCTCCAGAGTATCATATTCTGAGAATTTTACAAGTCAATTTATTTAAGGTTGTGATTTTTTTTTTTTTTTAGCACAGCAAGATTAACACTGTAAAAGAGACCAAGTAGCTAGCAAATGCTGTACATTATAATTGTTTACTATAAGCTGGCTCATCAAATTTTACTGCTAGAGGAGAATTACTTTTATGTGTAGATAATATTAAACTAAGTCTGGAGCTGAAAAATCTACTTGCAGTATTTTTTTTACGATACATTACAGTATTTTTTTACGATACATTACAGTATTTTTTTTTCAGCATCTGTACTTACTTTAAATTAAACAAAACTGTCCTTTCATAAATGTAACAGCAGAACTCCTGTCAACACTGGTAGAAATTATTTGTGAAGAAGGACAAAAAAAAATATAAAGCAATATCAAGAAAATAAGATAGTGGTAATATAAAAAAAATAAGAAAGTAAGAAGCACATTTTGATTTGGAAGGATGGGAATAAGCAAAGACTGTTGTAAATTTTTTTCCAGGCATATCTGTTCTTTTCTTTACTTGGAAAACAATAACATCATGAACAGAGTAGGGTGCTTAGGTTAAAATTTTTCCTCTTTGTTCCTTTTTATCCTTTTTCAGAAAAAACTTTGATCATATTAGGTTACATGTGAGTGAGTGATTAATTGCACTATTACTGTATATAGACCATTTCTGTAGCCTTGGTGTAAAAGAGGTTGGGAGAAACAGGCTTAGCTGTTTCCAGGCTTTCTCATTCTACTTCTTCAGGGCTGTAGCCTTGTGGAAAAGAACTTTGCAAGTGAACTAAATTAACTGAAGCAAGAAGGTAATGATTTATATCTCCCTACTTTTTTTGCCAAGAAAAATGCAAATGTTCAACTGTCTATATTGCATTTTTTTCTTAAATAATTGTTCCCCATTTCCTCTAGGAGAAAAAGATAGCTTGTGAGTTTTAAATAGTTTGTATGCTGCTGATTCAGTCTGGGAACTGCTGTGAGATCATTTAAGTATCTTTGAGACTATACAAAAATGTGGTGTTTTGAAACAGTATAGTACATCATGGAGAGCAGAGATATTTATTTCAAATATTTATTTTAGAAAATTGCATTTAGTGATTAACTTGTCTAATTTTTCCTGTTAAGGTATAGTAGGATGAAACCATGCTGTTTTATGCTCTGAATGGAAATTGTAATATATCTTTTAAATCTGGTATGAAACATTATGGTGATTGGACTAGATGATCTTGCAGGTCATTTCCAACCTTGTGATTCTATGATTCTATGATTAAAATTAATAGGATTTTTAGATGTATTTCTAGAATAGCTTTTAAGGGGAACATTGAAAAACTGATATGAAATCAACTGAGTTATCAGTGAAATGTAAGGCCTTTGCATTTTGCATTCCAAGACCTTAGGGTGTACCAGGGAATAATTATCTATTGTCATAGGATATTGAAATGATAAAAACTGTGTAGAAGAAAGTATTATTGGA